CATCATTAGCAGCAGCAGTATCATCATCATCAGCATCAACACCATGGGCATTATATTAATCACCGTCATCAGCAACATCATCAGCATCAGCACCGGCGTCATCCTCATTACTATAATTTGTATCCTCATCACCATCATCCTCATCAGCACATAAACACCAACATAACCATCGGCATCATCAGTATCACTATCGTCCTAATCATCATCACCAGCACCATCATCAGAACGAACATCACCCATCACCATCATGATCACCACCATAATATCAATCAGCATCATGATCGTTATGATCAGCATGGAACTCATGATCATCACGCTCACCACAAGCATAATCAGCATCCTCTCAATTATCAACACCGTCATCATCAGCATCAAACCATCATGCTTATCATCACCACCATCATCATCAACAGCATCGTCATCATGACCATCATCATAATCAGCATCAGTATCATCAACATCAGCATCATCATGACCATCGTCATCAGCATCATCATCATCATCATTATCATAATCAGCATCGGCACCATCATCATCATCATCACCATCAGCAATATCATCATCATCATCCTCATCCTCATCATCATCATCATCATCATCATCATCATCATCATCATCATCATCATCATCATCGTAATCAACATCCCTCTTCCCTCGTCTCCTCTTCCTCCGCCTCCATTCCTTTTCCTTATAAATAACTCCCCCCCGTCGCGTCCCGAGGCCAGCCGCAATGGTGGGTCGGGCGCTTCGCCTGAGACTCCCCTACCAGTTTCATCAATGGAGAGCTGATGGTTTTCAGAATGTGGCTCTCGCCTTGGTACCGCCCACATCAGTCTTAAGCACTTGACGAGCTTCACGGATTGAGGGCGTGTGGTTTTCCAAATGTGGCTCTCGCCTTAGCGCGGCGCACATTCGATTCAAACATGTGCAAGAGTTTCACGGATTGAGGGCGGGTCGTTTTCAAAATGTGGCTCTCGCGTGAGCGCCGCGCGCATTCGTCTCAAACATGTGCAAGGGTGCCACAAACCGAGGCCGTACCTTTTTTCAACATGTGGCTCTCGCCGTAGCACCGCGCACACTCGTGTAACAAAAATTGCAAGAGATTCACGGATTGAGGGCGGGTCGTTTTCAAAATGTGGCTCTCGCGTTAGCGCCGCGCACATTCATCTTAAGCAATTACGAGAGCTTCACGGCTTGAGGGCGGTTCCTCTTCAAAGAAAAACTCTCGCCTTAACGCCGCGAACAATCGTTAACGGGTTCCCAAGGTTAACGTACCAGGAATGGCGTTGTGGAGCGATTCAGGATCGTCAGGGCGCAACGGTTTCGATGAGTCCCGGTGGTCAAGTCCCAGGGACGGCGTTCTGGCACAATTCAGAGTCATCAAAATGGAACAGTCAGGTTGATTCGTGGCGTTGGAGTCCCGAGAATGGTGATTTGGCACGTTTCAGGATCTTCAAGCGAGTGTCTCCCCAAGGGGCACCTCCCTCAGTAGAAATGAATCCTTATAGTAGCCTAGGAAGCGGGAGCCTGGAGGGTTCATTTTTCCAACATCTTTGATGAATCGTGGGTTTGCCCTGGTCTCTCCTCCTCCTCCCCCTCCTCCTCTGTTCTTCCTCCTCCAACCATGACTTACGGCAGGTCCGCGTCATGTCCCCGGCGTGCTTTCCTGACACCGCGGGGATCCTTCAAACTAAAATGATCGGCCGATTCAGAAACGTCAGAACGTTCAACGATGGGCCGATTCTGAGCCATGGGCGGCGTTCAACCTTAATCGCCCGCGCTTGGGTCGTCGCCAGTCGACACGACGAGAACCAACCGTAAGAGGACAATCCTGGAGGCCTCGCGCCGCAACTTGAAGCCCTTTTAGTCGGATCAGCGTCGGATCTGTGTCAGGACCACGTCGGAGTCCCCAGTGGGACCGCCCGCATGCGTCCCCCACACCCAACTTGGCATTGTCACCCACCCAGCACAGCGCTTCGTGGCCCCATAGGGAGCCCTCGTCACATATCTGACGGGGCGGACGTGCGGACCAGAGAATACAACTATTGCACGCCGCGCGAGGCCTCGAGGACTTCACCCGAGCATGACTCAACGCGGAAATGTCGGTGTCGATCTTGGTCATCGTGCATCTCGGTCAGCGTCCATTCGTGGATCCTCCTCGAACATCGGCGACGGTCAGCATGGACCATGACGACGATCGGCGTCGACGAGGCCCAGCGACAACTTGGCCATGGTCGTCATGCTCCTTCCCTCGGACAGCCTCGCCAGATGCTCCACCGAGGCGCCCCCTTGTCGTGCCATGCCCTGCGAGCCCCTCCGCAGGAGGCAGCGAGCAACAAAAAAACAATAGAGGGCGCCCGGCTCCGCAAGCGCGCCAGCGAGGTCTCGCCGGCATCCGCGGCGCGCGGGGTAGGCGCCGCCAACCCCGCCGCCAGCCCGAGAATGCGGCCGCCAGTGCATTCGGCCGGCCGCGGCGGCACCCAAGCAGCCGCGCAGCCCCAGCACTGATGGAGGCCTCCCGAATGGGGGTCCGAATGGATTCCTAGGTTGCCTCACTTCGCGCATCGCGCCCCGCAGTGCGCGATGTGTGATGACCTTCGGACCCTCTCGCCCTCGCACCGACCGCTTGGAGTGGCCCAGACTGCGATGCGCGAAACGCGACTTATCTTCGCGCCCCCGCGGGCGGAGGAGGAGGAGGAGGAGGAGGAGGAGGAGGAAGGGGCGGAGGAAGAGGGAGGAGGAGAAGGAGGGAGGGTGGAGGGAGGAGGAGGAGGAGGAGGAGGAGGAGGAGGAGGAGGAGGAGGAGGAGGAGGAGGAGGAGGAGGAGGAGGGGAGGAGGAGGAGGAGGAGGAGGAGGAGGAGGGAGGAGGAGGAGGAGGACCACCGCCACCGAGAGCCCATCGGCAGAGGGCCGACCACTGGGCGGTGGCACGTCCGAGCATCGCTCAGCACAGGACGACGCTCAGGCGTGCCACCGCCCCGGGGTCGGTCGGTCCCCCCCGATGGGGTTCTCGGTGGCGGTGGTAATGTTTCGAAAGCAATACGTACACCCTGCGAAATGCTTAAGAAATCATGGGTTAAGAAATTCATAGTCTCAGATCTTGAGCAAAACCCAACATTTCCATTAAAAACTCAGGACTTACATTGAAACGTTAAGAATAATCGAGACTCTGGCCGAAAACTCAAGTTTTCTTAAGCATCGCCTAAGGTGTAGGGCAGGAGCATTGCGCCGCATCGCCGACGCTTCGCCGATGTATCGGCGACGCATCGGCGACGTCGGCGTGGAGAGGGTCGGGCTCCAAGTCGAGCTGCATCGCCGATGCATCGGCGATGCGGCGCGATTTACCAGCCCCATCTGCTTCGACCCCCACTTGGGAGGCCTGGAACAGTTGAAGGAGGGCGCCAACTATTTGAGGAGGACTGGTCGAAACAGCGGCGTTCCTGCCTGGCGTTGTTCGTCCGCTTGTTTGCTTAAGCCGTATGAGTGCTTCTCGTCGCTACTGCTGTATCCGCATCGAAAAACGTGTGGGGCAGATTTTGAGCGGTTTCGGGCCAGGCGGGAGGGCCGCCTGTCTCAACTGACCCTGCTGCGAAACTACAGCAGGTTCGTGTCCTGACGACTTGCCAGAGCGGTGAGGACCGAATCGAAAAATCTGCTCGGATCGGAGGAATGTGCTTCGAATCGGGGCGCATCGGGGCTGAGTCGGACTCGAGTCGAATCGGCCGAGCCAGGATGCATAACAGCGCCACGCAACCATCGGGCCGCATCGCATCGTCAAACTGGTCGGAATCGAGTCTGATCGGGCTGGGCTGGCCGAAATCGACATTGAATATGATCGGTCGGATGGGGATGGGCCCTGGCTTGCGCGTTGGTTTCTGACACCGCGGAATCTCGGCCCAGCCTGCGCCACTGGCGGCGTTTAACCTTGAACGCCCGCGCTGGGGTCGCAACGGCGTCGGCACAGCGCGAACCTGCTGCACACACGTGTACACAGATACACCTGCCCTGGCCGGTCCCATCCTGGGCACAGGATCGATGTATACGCCATCATGGCTTGGGCCTCTGGAGGCATACCTACCGATCGCGAGCGCAAGGTGGGCCCCGCCAGCATGCACAGCCCACACCGCGCGACATGAGGGACACGGGTCCTGGTGGAAACGGGTCCTGGATCCCAGGGCTCACCCCAGGACCACCTTCTCACCTGGAGCCGCCTGCTGACGGTCCCCGCGGATCCCCGGGGCGGGCGCCCCCGGAGGCCGAACGCGGTGCAGCGGGCCACCGAAGGCAAACAGCCTCGCTCGAACCTCGGCCCTCGACCCGCCGTGCTTCTGTTCGCGAGGCGAGGGGGTCTGGGCCTCTTCTCCCAGGGGCCTTTCGTGGTCTGGCGGGGCCACTGGGCCGCGACCCCGCGGATACGGGCTGCTTTTTGGCGGATGCCCCCCACGCGCAACGTGTCCGTGCGACCGCGTATCGGCAAGATCGCGCCCCAGGAGATCGATTTTCCTCAATCCGGAGCTCTCGAAAGTAGCCCCCCAAACCCCCGACCTCTCTCCGGGTGCGTCCTGGTTGGAACTCCGGGAAGATCCAGGCGTGACGACGAGGAGCCCACTGGAGGCCAAAAGAGAACACATCACGGTCAAACAACCTCCAGGACACACCCTTCCTCCAGGACCTGGCTCCCTCTATGGTGAGGGGAACGATCGGGCGGGGCCGGCTCAGGGGAGGACATCTCGAGCTTGAACCGGCGATGCATCGCCGAATGACCAGCGATGGGCCCCCGATTGCAGAACCTCACGTTCCTGGACGGCGATGCATCAGCGATTGGGGATCGATCCTGGGCAACCGAACAAACACCGATACCGCAATTCCCTGGACCTCTTCCAGGGTGCGTTCTGACCAGGATTTCGAAGCGAATCCAGCGGTAGCGACGAGGGCCTCCCGGGAGGCCGACAAAGGGGCAAACAGGTGAAGGGTAGAGGTATAGGTACCTTTTCCTCCTCTGAGATCCATCCCCTCCTGAGCCTATCCCACCCTTACATTGCCCCGGAAATGGCGGTAGCAAGGGCCGTACGTCCCCGCTGGCCGAGCCTCGCTCGCGGCGCGCTCCAGCAGCCCCTCGGCCCAGAGTCGGACGCCGGCGGGCGCCACTCGACGCTGGCCGCGCCCGCGGCGGCGAAGCGCCGGCGCCGCTCGTGCACCGAGGGAGCCCTGTGCAGAGTGGTGCTGCCACGAACGCGTGGCCGCACAGAGGCCGCCCCGAACCGACGATCGATCAAGCCGCTCGCATCGTCCTCATCCCCACTATCACCAGAAGCATCAGCACAATCAGCACAATCAGCAGAATCATCATCAGACTCGCCATTGCCATCGTCATGTCCATCTTTATCACAACCCCATCGTCCTCATCACCACTACCATTTCGTCGTCGTACAAATCATCGTCGTTTCTAACGTTGCCATCGTGGTATTCAGCGTCAGATTTGATTGAACTGGCCCCAAACGGAGATCCCCCGCCAGCAAATGAGAGGGAGCCGGCCGAAGGGGGGTGCGCAATCATCGAGCCGAGGTGGCGCGTCGCCGAGTCGATCGAATCGTTGGCGGCCTCGTGCGTAACGGTGCAAAAAGCTGCGGGCGGGCGGGGGGCTGGAGACAGACGAGCAAACAATCACCTAACATAACAACTCGGAGGTCCACGCGGATTTCTCGGATCGGCGCTGGGCCCCTCCTCCCTGGCGCGCGGAGCGAGCCAGGAGCGGCGCCAGAAGCGCCGCCAAGGGGCCCCAGCGCCCTTCTGCCGCGCGGACCTCTGAATTGTTACATTCACGGTAGGTTCACGCGGCGTCGGCGCGCGCCGAGGTTTTTGACACCGCGTCGAACATTCAAGCTTGGGTCAATCGTGGCCCCGATCGTTCAAGGTTGAATTCAGTCGGGTCCAATCGCGTAATCATCTCCATCGGTGCTCGCGCGTCGCAGAGCTCAACTGGCGGCGTCGCCAGCGCGCCAACGCTGCGTGAACCTACCGTGTCATGGGATTGAGATTGGCCCTTCTCCTCTGAAGCAGAGACCGACCGTCCCGGCATTCCAATAGACCACGAAATCTCCCTAGAACAAACGATCGTTCGAATTGCCCAAACAATGTTCTCAGAACGCAAGCCCGATGTAAATAAAACAAGACAGTCTCCTCAACCGGCCTTGTTCGAAGAACACTTCGGGCAATTCCCGCAAACAGTTCTCAGAACTTTCTGTGGTGGGCCTGTAGGCAAGCCAGGACGCTTCGCCACTGTTCGGCGGCGCGCACAAGGGGGTAGGGGGAGGGGGGAAGGCTTCTTAGAAGGAGGGGGCTTCTCAGAAGGCGCCGGCCCCACATCTGCGAAGAAGAAGAAGAAGGCCCGCGCCTACGGGGAAGCGGGGAAGCTTCTGAGAAGACTTCCCCCCTCCCTCCCTCTGAGCGTGGCTGACTGTGGGCAAGCCAGGACGCTTCGCCACTGCTCCACCGATCCTCCGCCGCGCCGCGCCGGGGCGCCGCCCGCTGCCGGCCCCCTCCTGCCGCCCGGCCGGCGGATGGGCCCGGCCTGGCCTGGCCCCGCCTCGCAGCGCGCCCCAGCAGCGCGGGCGCTGCGAGCGGGAGACGGCGGCCTCCCCGACAGCTGCCGGAGAGTGAGGGGCCAATTTTCACCACCACTACCAGATGTAGGACAGGGGAGAAGGGAGGAGGTCCTCCTCGCTCACTCACTCATGGCTTCAAGAGACGAAGTCTGTAGCCACCCATCCGGCCCAGACCTCGCGGGCCTTGCGGTACACGAAGTAGGGCCTCGCCTGGGCGCTGCCTCGGGGGGCTCCTCGGGCAGAGCGCCTGGAGGTCCTCCTCCTCCTCCTCCTCCTCCTCCTGCATCTCCTACCTATGGGAGTGGTGGTGGAAAATCGGCACATCAGAGAGGGCCAGGGTGGGGGATCTGCTGATGAGACGAAATCAGGACGAAGATTGAACATCGGGTGAGGGGAAAAAGCGGAAACCTCTGAATCTCTGAGAGCCGGCAGTTCTGAGGGATGTATCGGGCGCCGCGGCCTTCTCACAGCGTCCCAGAACGCTCTGAGAGCGTTCTGGACCGCTCTGGAATGGATTTATCCTCGTCCTGGCCCCGCCCGATCTACTAACTTGGGTCAATCCGAATTCAGTCGGGCTGTGTAGGACCCTGCAAGGTCCGTCAGGATCCTGTAAAATCCTGCACTTGCCATCGCTCGGACGTCTATTCCCCGTGCATGTTTCGGCTTCGTCCGTGTATCTTTTTGCAAGGTGGTCCAAGATGCTCCTCGACGGTCCTTGCCGAGGAAATTGCACACGTCCGACCGATGTCAAGTGTACGCAAGCCCGGGTCAGTGCACCCCTGGCTCTGCAGGATCTTGGCGGCCAACCCACGGGGGAAGTGAGAAGGCGCGGGCCTTCTCGGAAGGCTTAGAAGTCCCCTGGTCTTCTGAGAAGTTTCCTGAGCCCCCCGCCGAAGACAAAGGAGACCTCTCAGAAGGCCAGAGGGCCTCTGACAAGCCCCGTCGCCTTCTGAGAAGGCCTCCTCCTTCTCACTTCCCCCCTCGCTCGCTGCCGAATCCCACCAGCCCTCTGGGCGTGGGTGGTTTAAAGAGTTTCCTCTTCCAACCCCCTTCTTCCCCTTCGGGGAGGGGTTTACCCCTCCCACCGACCCCCTCGCCTGGACCTAAACGGGGGGGCGGCGAGGTGTCAGATGGTACTTTTTCGCCGAAGACGGCTCCATGAGCGCCTCGGAGAGCCCATTGTGGCCTTCAAGATGCCTCCAAAAGGCCTCAAGACCGCCCCAAGACGGCTCCAAGAATGCTCCGAGACATCCAAGGAGGCCTCCAAGATGCCCAAATCCTTCAAAAACCTAAGGACAAAAATTGATGTTTGCACCGTCGCCCGTCAGCTCTCGATAGCCTTCCGAGGCCTCAAGATGGCTCCAAGATGGCCCAAGAGGGCTCCAAGAGAGCCCCAAGAAGTCCCCAAGAGCGCTCTGAGAGGAGATGTTGGGGGGCTCCCGAGGGGCAGGGCGAATCGCGACCATCCCCTTCTGTGATCGATGTCCTCCAAGATGGCCCCAAGAGCGCCTCGAAAGCCCCCAAGAGCGCTCCAAGAGGGCATCAAAAGGGCCCCAAGAGGCGTCAAGGAGGTTCCAAGAGTCGCCCAAGAGGCTTCCAAGAGGCTCCCCAGAGACCCCCAAGAGGCCCCAAGAGGCTCTCCGAGGTACGCAAGAGATATCCTAAGAGGCTCCGAGAGGCATCCAAGAGACCTCTGGCCCTTTTGCTAGCCCTCCTCATCCTGCTCTTCCTTCCTCCTCCTACTCCTTCTTATCCTCCTCCTCCTCCTCCTCCTCCTCCTCCTCCTCCTCATCCTTTACATCTTCCTTCTCCCCACTCCCTCATCCATCCTTCCAGCCTCTTCCTTCTCCTCCTCCCTCCTTAGCACGGTTCGGCCGTCCCCCTGTTTGCTCCCGCACTTCCCTGATCACCTCAACTCGCCTGGACATCGTTTCTGGATGGGCTGGTGGGGATACGCGACGCATCTAGAATGTAGTTTTTGTGTCGTAGCTCGGTCTCCCGCGGGCGTTCGGGATGATCCGGGCACCCCTGGAACGCCCGCGGCGAGGCGCAGCTGCTGGCAAGCATTCCGAGGCTGCAGAACCGCCAAGAACCAACGAAAACCTCCGAAAACCTCGAACCTCGGACCCGCCGGCTGCCGTTGTCCCTGAGCACCGCCGCCGGCGCACGGCTCCCCGCGCCGGCGGTCGCCCCTCCCGCCCGGCGCCGCCCCGCGCGCCGCTCAGCAGGCCGCCTGGGCGACGTGGCAGGTCCTGGGGCGACGCCGCCGCCGCCGGGGGCGAGGACGCCAGACGGCGATAACGACGACAGCGGCGACGGCGGCGGCGGCGGTGACGACGACGACGACGACGACGACGACGACGACGACGACGACGACGACGACGACGACGACGACGACGGACGACGTTGACGACGACGACGACGACCGAAGACAACGACGACGAAAGAACAAACGAACGAACGACGACGATGCCGCCGCCGACGATGGCAAGGACGGACAACGACCCACGAACAACGAAGCAAGACGACGACGACGACAACAACGACGACGGACAACGGACAACGACGACGACGACGACGACGACGGAGACGGACGACGACGAAGACGACGAAGACGAGGCCCAGGCCGACGGTGGCGGCGGCGGAAACGACCATGGCCGCGGCGCCGCGGCGGCAGAACCGAGGACAACGACGGCGACGGTGGCGGCGACAACAGCAGCAGGCGCGGCGACAACAGCAGCCGGCGCGGCGGCGGGGACGAGTTGGGCGGGAGGGGAGATGGAGGGGGAGATGAGGGCGGAAGAGGGGGTGGGGAACCAGGGAGACGACGGGGAGATGAGGGGAAGAATGAGAGGGGGCGGGGGAGGGTGAGAGGAGAGAGGGGAGGGCAAGCTAGGCACGCTCGGGCCATATCTGACATCATATCACGCCCATGGCGCGTGATTCTTCTCGATTCGCCGACGGGAGACGTAGCGGATCTAGAACCCCAAGAATGACACCATCGTATTATGTACACGGAATAGGGAAGCTGTGCAATTTGGAGGAGGAGGTCGCGGATGAGCTGGAGGATGGGCAGGAGGAAGAGAAGGAGTATGAGGATGGAGCAGGACGAAGAGGAACAACAGCAGCAGCAGCAACAGGAGCGGGAGAAGCGGGAGGAGAAGGATGACCACAAACAGGCGGAAGAGAAAAGAGCTGGGAGACAACGATGAAGAAGGACTCGGAAAGTGGCCCGCGCTGGGGCGAGAACGCCTTTCTGAACGACGGGAACAACACCGATTCGGAAAAAAAGGCCCAGGCTGCAGTGAGAGCGCCGTGTTGGAACGACCGACGACGCTCGGATTGTACAAAACGTATCATCACAATCAGCTCGTACCGACCCTGTATGTTTTTGTTTCCTGATGTGTTTCTCAATTATTGTTTTGATCCATATATATATATATGTAGAGATATAAACATGCGGAGAGGGAATTGCCACTCTCAGATCGTCTTCGGGGGAGAAAGGAAAATACAACTCATCTGGTGTAATTGTGGAAGGGCGGGGGGGGGGAGGGAGGGGAGGGAGGCAGGCAGGCAAGCAAAGGGGACGAAGAACGGAGATGCGCTTGGGGGATCGGGGAAGGCAGGGGGAGATCCTTGTCCTCATCCACACCTGTGTCCTCCTCCTCCTCCTCCTCCTCCTCCTCTTTGTTTTCCTCCTCCTCTTTGTCCTTTTCCTCTTTGCCTTCTCCTCCTCCTCCGCCTCATTCCTCCTCGTCCTCCTCCTCCTCCTCCTCCTCCTCTTAGTCCTCCTCTTTGTCCTCCTCCTCCTCCTCCTCCTCCTCCTCCTCCCCTCCTCCTCCTCTTTGTCCTCCTTTCTCATCCTCCTCCTCGTCCTCCTCCGTTTCCTCCTCCTCTCCCTCCTCCTGCTCGTTGTCCTCCTCTGTCCTCCTCTTTGTCCTCCTCCTCCTCGTTTTCCTCCTCCTCCTCCTCCGCCTCCTCCTCCTCCGCCTCCTCCTCCTCATTATCCTCATCTTCCCCTCCCCCTCCTCGTTCCCCAGCCTCCTGCCCCTCCCCCTCCCGGTGCGGAGGGCGTCTCCCCAGCGGCTGGTAGAAACGTCGCGCCCGGCGGACCAGCCGCAAGCCTGGGGACACCGAAGCCCGCGCGCGGCCGCCTGGGCGGCACGGGCGCCGGCAGGTAGGAGGTGGAAGAGGAGGAGGAGGAGGAGGAGGAGGAGGAGGAGGAGGAGGAGGAGGAGGGGTTAACGAGGCAGAAGAGAAAGAAGATGAGATGGGAGGAGAAATGGGGAGGAGGAGGAGGAGTAGCAGGAAGATGACAAAGAGGAGGAGGACGAGGAGCAGGAGGAGGTCGAGGAGGAGAAGTAGGCGGGGGAACCACAGGAGGACAAAGAGGAGGAGAGGAGGATGATGATGAGAATGATGAGGGGAGGAACGCGAACAACCAACGGGACTCTCAAATCTCAGACCGAATCGGTGGGACTGCAGGTGCCAACTGCTGCCCCGCAGGCATTGATCCCATAGCAACCGCTGCTGGTAGGCTCGTGGCAGGTTGCCCCGCAAGTGCAGGAGCAGCGGGTGTCCCCGCACGATTCATCATACGGCGTAGCTGTCGCTCCTGACTGCGGCGCTGGCGAGCCTGTTGCATTGGGTGCTTGGCCTGCTGCGCCTCATGGGTGGCCAAGATCTCAGGACGCAGCTCTCCCATGGACGAGGGTGCCACTAGCTCAGAGCTCAGTGCCACTAGCTCAGAGCCTCGTGCGACCTCCTGGTCCATGGGAACCGCCAAATACCCGCAGTGGGGCACCTGGCCTGGCACGCCGGTCTCATGCCCAGCGCCGCGCGTCAGCTGGGACCGATAAAAGTCATCAGCAGTTGCCCGAACGCACGGGCTCTCGGGCTGAATGTCAGGGAACATAGAAGCATCCATGGGTGAAGCCGCTCAGCTGCGTCGCCTCTTATGACGAGTATGCCTCGGAGACCCGTCGGACAGTTGGCCGCCAGCAAGAAAGTAGCACTGGCACAACAACCACCTGGGCGCCATGAGGAAGTGCCTTCAAGGCCCGCACCGGGCCTAGAAGGCACTGGCGGTGCTCGACCTCTGCGGAATGGTCGACAGCGTAGGCATGCAGAAGAGCAGGCCCCAGGTGGAGAAACTCATGTTCTGCGGGGAAGCCCGCCCGACGTGCTTCTTGCGCCCTAGCAATGGACGCCGCAGCCCAGGCATTGGATGCCCGGAGCCCCTATGCTCACGGGTGGCAGACATGGCCGAACCGGGAGCGCCCTGCCACTTCATTCACGGCACGCAGTTGGTGAATATCCCGAACATACTACACGTCGGTCTGTCTTGCCGCAGCGAGGACAACACCAAAGGGGAAGGCAGGCAGATGATTCGCGGACTTTCCCGGAGATGGGCGGACCCAGCCAGGCCTGCGAATGGAGTCCGAAGTTCTGGTCATGGTGAGCCTGGAGAGTTTACCTCGCGACGACGTTCCGAGTCGGCGCTCTGTCAACGACGTCATCATGACGTCGGGCAACACTTGCAGGACCCCGCCAAGCCACATTGTTCAACTTATTGACATCGGGCCTAGCACAGTCCAGTGCAAATGCGATCGAGCTGGACAATTGTGGGTCAAAGATGAAGACAACCAGCGGGGTAACCTGCATGCATCCACTCCTGTACCAAGGAGCTGCTATGAGTATGCATACGATGCATCAACAGTGAAAGGATGGATTGTACCGAGGACCCCCTACAACCTCCAGGTCCCTGTCTCGACCCCTGTGCAAGAGGTGGGACATGCCTCTGTCTTCGCGATGCAAGAGGCATGCCAAGCAGGGGCACCTGCGGGAGGCTCTTAAGGGTCAAGGATCCAAGCTCAGAGTGCTGATCTGCTGGGGCTGGAGAATCGCGCCGCATCGCCACTATATTGCCGATGCATCGCCGATGCATCGGCGACGTCGGCGATGCATGGGCGACGTCGGCGTGAATAAAGTCGGGTTCCACGTCGAGCCGCATTGCCGATGCAGCGGCGATGCGGAGCGATCCTCGACCTCATACTCTCGGACCCCATCTGGAAGGCCCAGAGCCTCTCCTATCCTCCTGCTGCACCTGTGGAGCAAACACAACATAAATAGAAAATTTCGGATATCCGCGCGGAACTCAGAACGTTTAGGTGCATGCCTTTACTGTTACTTGACTCAAGACGAAGCCAAGACCCGGACTGCTCTGAAACGCCAGAACAATATAATCGTTACCAAGACTGAGCGCGGAAATGCCAGTGTCGATCCTGGTCAGCGTCCACCTTGGTCATCGTCAAATTGTGGATCATCCTGGCGAATCGGCGACAGCTGGCATGGCACGGACCATGAGCAAGATCGGCGTCGACAACATCCCGCGACATCTTGGTCATGGTCATCGTGATTCTTCCCTCGATGCTCCGCCTCCTCCTCCTCCTCCGAATCCTCTAATCGTGCGAACTTGGCAATTACTGCATGAGAAATATAATAATTATGCTGATGCCCAGGGTGCAGGAATACTCTTGGCATTTAGGCCCAACTTTACCGTGCCGTCGCCTTTTGGGGAATTTTGGGGATGCCCCCTCGACGATTAACTTTCCGGATCGTTTGCTGACGGTCCCCATGCCGTAAGCGGGGCCCCAAAGGGCGACATTCGCGAAAACCTGTCCCTACTCAATCGTGGTCGTCGTCGTTCGCAGTCGCCGTCGTCGTTCGTCGTCGTCGCCGTTCGTCCTCGCCGCCGACGTCCTCGCCGTCGCCGCCGCCGTCGTCGCCGTCGCCGCCGTCGTCGTCGTCGGCGTCGGTCGTCCGCCGCTGCCGTCCGCCATCGCTCGCCGCCCTCGCCGCTGCCGCTCCTCGCCGTTCGTCGCCTCCTCTCGTCTTCGCCGTCGCCGTCGCGCGAAGCTCGCCGTCGTGTCGTCGTCGAGGGCGGCGCGCGTCGGCGGCGGCCGCCCGGCCTGGGGCGCAGCCGCCGCCGTCGGAGCGGGCGCGCCTGCGCGAATCCTGCCTGGAGGCCTGCCGGGAACGGCAGGCGGCCTGCGACGGCGGGGGGCCACCCTCCGAGGGCTCCCTCGGCCGAGGAGGAGGGTCCTCCTCCTCCTCCTCCTCCTCCTCCTCCTCCTCCTCCTCCTCCTCCGGTTTCGTATTCCTCCTGCCACCTCCTCTTCCTCCTCTTCCCCCTCCCCCTCCACCTCCTTCCTTCCTCCACCTCCTCCTCCTCCTCCTCCTCCCTCCTCCTCCTTTTTCCTCCTCCTCCTCCTCCTCCTCCTCCTCGTCCTCCCTTTCCTCCTCCTTTTCCTCCTCCTCTTCCTCCACCTCCTCCTCTTCCGGGTTCTTCCTCATCCTCTTCCTCTTCCTGCTCCTCGGTGTTCCTTTTCCTCCTCCTGCTCCTCCCCTCTTCCCCTCCTCGAAGATCCTCCTGCGGAAAACGGGGGGGAGGGGGGAAGGGAAGATCGCCACCCCTCCTCGAGGAACGTCCTCTTCGTTTTCCTCCTCCTCCTCCTCCTCCGTCCTCTTCCTCCTCCTCTTCCTCCGTCCTCTTCCTCCTCCTCCCCGTCGTCTTCTTCCTCCTCCTCCTCCTCCTCCTCTTCCTCCTCCTCCTCCTCTTCCTCCTCCTCGTCCGCTTCCTCGTTTTCCTCCTCCTGGTCCTCTCTTTGTCCCTTCCTTGTGAATAACTCCCCCCTGTCGCACCCCGAAGCGTGTCGGTAGGGTGGACCCGGAGTTTCGCCTGACACGCCCTCACCTCGTTTATGACCATTTATGACGTGATAGATTTATTTCTGGAGGGCGGGTCGTTTTCAAAATGCGATTATCGGATTAGCGCCGCGGACATTCGTCGAAACAGTTTACAAGAGCTTTACGGATGGAGGGTGGGTGGTGTTCAATAGTTGTTCTCGCGTCAGTGCCGCGCAAATTCGTCGTAAAGCTTTGCGCGGGCTTCACGGATGGAGCGCGGGCCATTTTCAACATGAGGCTCCCGCCCTAACGCCGCGCGCACTCGTTGCACAAAAACTGCAGAAAGGGCGGCGTATGGTGTGCAGCGCACATTCATCTTAAACGCTCACCAAAGACATAATGTGGATCTCGCCTTAGCGCCGCGCACATTCGTTTTAGTTAACGACAACAATTTCATAAACTACTATCGCTGGCGTCCTAAGAAATGTGTTCCGGCCCGGCTTTGGATTGGCATGGCGCAACAGTCACGCTGATTCGCGGTGTTCTTGCAGGAGCAACGGGGAACTTGCAAGGAAGGTTTACTGTAGCGTCGTTGATGCGTCTTTGGCTTGCACCGGTCCTCCTTCATAGTTGCCCCCTCCTGTGTTGGGCATTTGTTGTGGATAGAGCACTGCTGATCCCCCCTTCCTGTCCCGCCCCAATCCCCTCGCCTCGCCGGTTCCCTAACCAACTGCCCCCGATAATAATCCCCCGGGGATGATAAAGTCGGGGGGGGGGGGGGGGGGGGGGGGGGGGCGGGGTCTAGCGGGGATGGCCAAATATTTCCCGAGCGAAGGTGATGTTATGGCGCTGATGTTGGTGATGGTGAGGATGATGATGATCCCGGGCGCACGCGCAACCTGACCCTGTAAATCGCGGCGCAGGACTGGCTCGAGGGATCTCGAGGCTCGCGGCTACAACTCCTCGGCACTCCTGGCTAAGAAACCTCTCTTGCGCGCGACTTCAAACCACTCGCCCACGCAGGCTCGGCGCCCTTTGGAGCCGTCCTTGCACGGAAGGCACTAGGTGCAGGCCTGGGCGGCAGCCCTTGCCGCTTCGAGGGTGGCATGCTTCGGCTCGACCGCCGCGGGGCCCTTGAAGGGCTTGGACTTGGCCTTGCTCTTGGTCCTGGCCTCGGCCAAATCGTTGTCGCTAGCCTCCTCGAGCTCTTTGATCCACTCGTTGCCTCGGGCGCGCATCGCGCTAATGCTCGCGGGCGCTCGGCGGCCCTCGCCTCGGATCTCGCGCGAGGCGCGCTCGATCCAGCGACCCGTCCACCGGCCGCAGGGCCAGGCGCCGGCCTGGGACATCTTGCCGCTCCTCGCAAGGCAGGTCTCGCCGGGGCCAACGGCGCCGAACTCGAGGATCCCCGCGGCGGCCTTGGGAGGCCAGGCGCGAACCCTACCCGCGATTTCTGAAGAGGAGGGCGGGGTTCACTTCGTTCGGCAGCTCCCGAGCAAAGTAAACCCTGCCTCCCCTCTCAGATATCGCGGGGTGTAGGTGTGAGTTCGCCTGTGCCTCCTCAGGCCTGCCTGGCTTTCTCGGACGGCTGCTCGAGGGCGTCGCGGTACTCCGCCGAGACGCCCCCGCCGATCCTCGAGACCTTGGCGGGCGTTTCGACGGGTGCCCCCTGCCTGGGGTGCCTCCAGGATTCGCTCCAAAACGGAGCGCAAAACTGGGGGCACCTTGGGGCAGGAGCAATTGTAACCACCGTCCTCGAGGTAGGTGTAGTGCGCGGGGGCGTCGGAGTGCACGCAGACTCTCTCGGCCCAGCGCTTCTGCTCGGCCTGGTCGACTCTCTCGGCCCAGCGCTTCTGCTCCTCGGGCAGCTGGGCGGCAGGTTCGTCATCGCCCTGGCCCTCTCGAGCCCGGGCGACGGCCGCCGTGGGCTCGACCGCCAGAACGGTCTCGGGGGCGCCCGCGCGCTCCTCGACCTCGCCCAGCAGCGCGTGCGCTGCGCCCAGCTCGAAGGCGTCGCCCGTGACGATCTGTTCGCAGTTCATGATCGCGCACTCCTTGGCAAGCTCGATGCGGCAAGCCAGTCTGGCCTGGCGCCAGTCGAGCTTGCGCGGCCTGGGGAACATGTAGCCCCGCTCGATTCGCGACGTGCGCTCGCCTGTGAGCCCCCGGGCCTCGCTGCTCTCGATCTGGAAGATCGCCGCGGTCTCCACCTCGAGGACGCGCAGGCGGTGCGCGTCCTCGGTGCCTAGGACTCGTCAGACGCCCCGCACCCTGCCGCGCCTGCCCTCGTGGACTCCATCCTCGGTGACGCGCGCCACCTTGCCGTGCCAAGGGGGGTCCTCGCAGGTCTCGAGGCGCGTTTTCTTTTGGCCTTCGCTTGCTTCTTGGCGTGCTTCTCCGCCTGCTTCTGGGCCTTGAACTTCTAGGAGAAGCTCACCTTGGCCTTCGGCGCCCTGCCTGTGAGATTCGCCTCGGCCACGCCCCGGCTCAAGTGCTCGAGCGAGGCCTCGCCGCCAATCTCAGCCTTCTCACGCTGCCACCTGCGCTGCAGCGCGCCCTGGAACTGGCCCGAGAACTCGGGCGCCCACCTGCTCTAGCGCTCGATTGTTCGCGCCACCTTGATCCGGTTTTCGAGGGCGCGCGGGAACTGGATCTCTTTGGTCCGCTCTTCTGGCCTTCTGAGCATGTCCTTCTGCTCGGAGCTCCAGTTCTCGGAGCTCCAGGAGGCGCAGGTTCTCGCCCTGCTCGCAGTCCCTTGTCAAGTCGTCTTGGTGGAAGCAGTTCCCGTCGAAAACGCTCCACTCGGGCGCGGGCGGCGCGCCCTCGGGCCACCTCTGCGCGCCCCCCAGGCGCTCGCTCGGCACGCTCTGCTCGATGCCGCGGCCGGGCTCGATGGAGTAGCTCCACGGCTCCATGCCCGTGACGACCTTGAACTCGCCCTGCTCTGTCGACTGGACTGCGAGCTTGTGGTTCGCTTGCAGTTCCAAGAGCGGCACCGCGTCCTTGTTCTTCTCGCGGAAGCGGGTGTAGGCCTCGGAGGCGCAGTAGAGGCACTCGTAGGGCCCCGATTGGGGGGTCGGCCTTGGCCTTCTGGATCCAGTCCTGCTCCGTGGCCCAGTGCATCTCGGCCTTGACCGCCCAGGCCATGGGCTGCCCCCAGACATCGATGGCCTCGAAGACCCTCGCGCGTTCCTCCTCGGTGAACTCGAGCAGAGCGTTGCGCCAACCCTTGAGCAATCCCCCCAAAGGCTCGCCTGCTCGGAAGCGCTCCGTCTCGCCCTCGCTCCGCTCGCAGGTGACGTCGCGCCGCCTGGCGCCGCTCACTCGGCAGCGCCCCGCGCAGGGGCCGAGGAGCGCGCTGCGCTTCTTGGCGGACTGGGGCCCCCTGATCGGGTCGAACCAGCCTTCGACTGCTGATGCGTCGAGGGCGATCCCGCGCTTGCCCCCTGCGCTCGAGTAGGCCTGGTCCACTTGCCCTTTCGCGTCGGGGTGCTCTGCCAAGTTCGCGGCCTTCTCGGCCTCGAAAACTGCCTTGTCCTCCTCGGCATGCGCCTCGCGGAAATCGCGGCGAAGGTTCTGGACGCGTCTCTCGGCGCCTGCAGCGTGGATCTCGCCCCCGTGGATCCACGCGCGCCCCTCGCCCCGGAGCTTGAGCCAGAGCGCGGCGGCGTCGACGACGAGCGCGCTCGCGCCGGCACTCGGCTGGGCGAAGGCCTCGGCCCCCCCGGCGAAGAGGCCGAGGTCCTCGGAACCGCCCCTCGCCACCAGGTGCACGAACCTACTGGATGTAAACCAGTAGTAGTAGTCGTAGTAGTAGTAGTAGTAGTAGTCGTAGTAGTAGTAGTAGTAGTAGTAGTAGTAGTAGCAGTAGTAGCAGTAGTTGCAGTCGTAGTAGTAGTCGTAGTAGTAGTAGTAGTAGTACTTGTTGTTGTGGTAGTGGTAGTAGTGGTTGTAGTGGTAGTAGTAGAAGTAGTAGTAGAAGTAGTAGTAGTAGTAGTAGCAGTAGTAGCAGTAGTCGTCGTAGTAGTGATAATAGTAATGGCTACCTGGTTTGGCTCGTAGTAGTGGTTACTAGGAGTAATAGTAGCATTAGTAGTAGTAGTAGTAGTAGTAGTAGTAGTAGTAGTAGTAGTAGTAGTAGTAGTAGTAGTGGAAGTAATAGTAGTAGTGGTACTAGGGGGAACGAGTAGTATTAGCTAGTAGCTAGTAGTAGCTAGTAGTAGCAGTAGTAGTAGTAGTAGTAGTAGTAGTAGTAGTAGTAGTGGTAGTAGTAGTGGTAGTAGTAGTGGTAGTAGTAGTAGTAGTAGTAGTAGTAGTAGTAGTAGTAGTGGTAGTAGTAGTAGTAGTAGTAGTAGTAGTAG